AAAAAAAAAAAAAATCATTATTAGGTTTTTAAATTTTTTAAAAAAATTAAGAGATAATTTACAGGCAGCAAATTCACCCCTTTTAGTAGAGTCTGTGTATGTGACAAACACATACAGTCATGTAACTACCACCACAATCAAAAACTAGAACCATTCCAAACAAACAAACAAAAAAACCAAACTCACTGCCACTGAGTCAATTCCGATCATTAGTGATCCCCACTGGGTCTCCAAGGCTACAAGTCTTTACAGAAGCACAGACTGCTTCATGGTTCTTCCATGGACTGGCTGGTTGTTCCTACCACTATCCTTTTGTTTAGCAGCCAAATGCCTTAACCACTATTCCACCAGAGCTCCTTAGAACCATTCCATATCCCCAAAATCCCCTCAAAGGAGCAGCTGCTTCTGGGGGTATGGAACAGCTCTAGATCTTGATTGTGGTGGTAGTTACATGATTGTATGTATTTGCTGAAACTCACAGACTGATGGTGGTCCCCCAAAATCCCTGAAAACTGTCAATCTTTTTTTTTATGCCTATCTTTTACCTTTTCTACAATATCATGAGTGGAATCATATAACATTTAATCTTTTGAGTCTAGCTTCTTACACTCAGCACAACATATTAGAGTTTCATTCATATTAGAGTTGTGTCTATCAATAATTTTCTCTGCTTCAATAATTCTCTGAGGATAATTCTATTGTGTGAGTTTGTTTATTATCACAGTTTGTTTATTCTGTCACCAGTTGAAGGGCATTTTTTCCTAGTTTTTCACATCATTAGTGATACCTCTATACCACAACTGGTCACAGAGGACTACGCAGCAGTCTGTTCTGGTGTGCGTGGGCCAGCTAACAACAACAGCAAACGTTTGAGAACAAGTTTCTGTGTGAACATAAGTTTTCTGTGTGAACATAAGTTTCTGTGTGAACGTAAGTTTTCATTTCTCTTGTGTAAATACTCATGTGATTGCTGGATCTTATGACCAGAGTATAATTTTATAAGAAACTGCCAAACAATTTTCCAAAATGGCTGTACCATTTTGCATTCCCACCAGCTATACCAAATAAAAAAAAACCCACTGCCCTCAAGTCAATGCTGACTCACAGTGTCGACTCATAGTAACCCTCCAGGACAGAGTAGAACTGCTCATTTACGTTTCCAATACTGTAAATCTTTACAGAAGCAGACTGGCATATCTTTCTCCTGTGGAGATGCTTGTGGGTTTGAACCCCTGACCTTTTGGTTAGCAGTCCAGCACTTTAACCACTGTGCCACTAAGGCTCTTCCCCACCAGTCATGTACCCGTTTAATTTGGAATAATTTGTATATAATGCAGTGTAACAGGCGGATCCTCATTTTCTACAGTGTTTGGTTACTTTGTGCCACTCTAACAGAAAATACCACAAATGATGGCTTTACAAACAGGAGTTATTCTCTTACAGTTTGGGAGGCTAGATGTCTGAATTCAAAGTGCCAGGCTCTACGGGCTGGGTCAAAGTCCCTTGACCTTGGATTTCAGCTCTGCCTTTTGCTTCTGGCCCAGTGAAGATAGAGGCTTTCTTCACTCTGACACCTGCTGGCTGCTGAGGCTGACAAACCCAAGGTCAACAAGTAAAAGGGCACAGTCCCAATATTACCCAGCAGGCCATTGATTCAAGTCAATTAAAGAGTCCCAAGATCGGCAGACAACATGGCAGGCTGCTGAAAAACCACTCGGCTACATGCAGGATTTAAACGTGCCATAAGCTACAGACCATTCCTAAAGCTTTTCCTTATATACTGGGAGCAGACCACATCCCTAAGGCAGCTACTCACCTGCTCCCAGTAGATTCCACCATGGAGCCGATTACCAGTTTCATCATGGGGAATGCTACATCCAGCTGCCCAGCCACTCAAAACCAGGCCCAGCCAAGCTGACACATAACTCTAACTACCGCATACAGAATAAAATATCCCCAGTTCTTCACTTACCATCCAGTGTCTTCATTTGGATGTTGAAGAACCTGCCTTCTTCCAGCTGTACCTGCCACTGTTCTTTCACATGTACCTCTGGGCACAGTGAGACTCAGCCCCTGACCCCTGGGGTAATGAAATCTTCTGCTAACTGCACTACTGAAATCTTCCAATCTTTCAAGTCTCCCTTCTGCTCTCCAAAAAAGACAATTTAATGAAAGGTGGTGACAAGAGAGGCCAATAAAACAGGCAGGAGCCTCTTGCCCTCTGTGCCATTCAGCCCAGAGCTGCATGAGCCACGTGGCAGAACAAGCTACCAGGAGTCCAGAGCACTGCTTAGGCAAAAGTCGGAGAAGAGCAGGTCTTTTCTCCTTTTTTTAAAAGAGAGGAACTCCCCAAAGTAACTGAAACTGATTGCATGGGATAAAGTGAATTCTCATTATTTGGGGATATGGGGGTGGGGGAGGCTTTTCCTTTTATGCAAGTTTGAGCCAGTTCCTGATACTAAGGCTCTTCTCTGCCTCCAAGTTTTCATACATACGGTTACAGAGGCGTTGGCAAAGGAGCCCCAAGAGAAGACGAATAGTAACGCAAATCCTTTGATAACACAGCAAGCCTGTGTGCTACTCCCCATAAAAGAGATAATGTACACCAGATGGGTATTTTTTTTTTCCTCTTCTTCTTCTTCTTCTCTAAACAGCTTGGAGTCTGCCTAGACACAAGGCGGCATCGCTCCTGAAGGCCCTGAAGTGCGGAGGGGAGTGCCACAGGCAACGTGTTGGCTTTCGTCCCATTTCTAGGAAGAGCTGATGCAATTCCGAGCCGCGGGGCTGGGAGGGCGTTCCATTCTTAAGCTACAGATTAATAACGTTCCAGCGTGGCTGCTTCTGCAGCGCCAGGTAATCCTAGAAATCCTTCGCCTGCAGCTCTGCAACCCTCTTGTAGCACCAGCGCTGAGTGCCATGACCTGGATCTGCTCTGCATGCCAGTCGCAAGAGCTCACACCCCTCAGGCGGCCGCGGAGGACGCGGCTGACTTGATACCACCCTCCTCCGGGAGAAGGTCTCTGTCCTTAAGGGCTCCGTTTCCAGACCAGGGATCTCACGCTTTAAACGCAAAGGAAGGGAAACAAACCCTTTGTCCCTGTACAGTGACTGTTCCCACCCTGTCAGTCCCAACCAGACGTTCGAAAACCTCATCCGTAGCTCCTTCTCCCATAGAAGACAATGATTTAATCGACCAGTCCCAAAGAGACCCTCTCCCGATCCTTCTCTGCAGGCTCCTAGTTTTAACAGCGCTCCCCAGGCTCCTAAAAAGTCTGAACATCGCTACCCACTCCAGCCCCGTGGGCCGACCCTCCCGCCAGGGTCTGGCAATCAGGACCGGCTGAAAGCCGGGAAGCTCGCCCGGGCCGGACTCACCCGGCCAGTGGAGAAGCGCCGGAGCGCCTGGCTACCCTGCAGCAACATGCCGGAAAGGAGCGCTCCGCGCGGGCAGGCGAGCGGCCGGGGGCTCAGCCTGGACGCAGTCTGCAGCCTCGCGCTTCTGGGCCGCCCAGCTCGCTGCGGACTGCCTCCCGGACTTCCCGGCCCGGCCAAAGAGACCCGCCCCCTCCAGCTGGCAAGGCTCCGGCGGCCAATCGGGTGCGCCCGGGCGGGGCTTGCGCTGGCCTCGCGAAGTAGCGGGGCTCTTGTCTGGGCACGGCGCCAGCGCGGTCCTCGAGGGACCACGCCCCGCGGCCACCCGCGGTTTGGTACCCCAGCTAACCTCCCTCGCTCGGTTCCAGTCCTGGCCAAGCAAGGTACTAGCTGTGGGACCTTCTACTAGTTAGTAGTTAGGTTCATAGGGATCTGCCTTATTAATAACCAATTTGACACCAAATTACGCTCTAAACACAATCCTGAGAAAGCCGCAGACACGCCTATGTGCGTTCGGCTACGAGCTCCGAAGGATAAGGGGTGGGGCACGTTCGCTCTGGAGGAATACTGACACCCATCTGGCAAGCTGCTGAGACTGTCAATGAGAAAGTGTCAGTAAAGCACTTGGCAAAGGACCGAGCACACAGCTGGTCTCCAGTAGATGATGGATAAATGCCCTTCACCCTTTCCTTTCTAGTAGACACACACACACACACACACACACACACACACACACACACGCTTGAAGGAGCGCTTGTCTCAAATGGGATTCCTGAGCCTGGCATTCAAGGTCATCTGCAATTCTGGCACTTACTGTTTTTCGCTGCTCTTTTGTATATATAGATTCATCCTGACAGTTCCTTCTTGGCCAATGGTTTGTCACCTGTCACCATCTCGGTAGGGCCAAATTCCTTCTTTTCTTAAAAACCACTGACATGGAATCAACTCTGACTCCAAGGCTGTAAATATTTACAGAAGTAGATTGCCCCACCATCCTCCTGCAGAGCAGCTAGTGGGTTTGAACCGCTGACCTTCTGGTTAGCAGCCAAATACCTTACCCACTACACCACCAGAGCTCCTCCTTTTCTTCAAAGTACAGGCCAAATGCTTCTTCCCAGACGTGTTTTTTTCTGATTCTTCCCTCTTTACAGCCCTTCGTCCTCACAGGTTATCTTTCGCTCCTCTGAAGGATTTTTGTCTCTGCTTCTCCTATGAGGCCCTTGGCGGTCCAGTTGGCAAACTAACCTAATAGTTGGTGGCTCCCTTTATATGTGTCTGCTGGTGACAAATTCTCTCACATTACTGTTTCTAAAACTATCTTTATTTACTCTTCACTTTTTTTACTTTATTAGTCCCATTTTATTTATTTATTTAAACTTTTTATGGTGATTTGGGTGAAAGTTTACAGAGCAAATTGGTTTTCCATTCAACAGTTCATACACTTTGTGTGTGTGTGTGTGACATTGATTGTAATCCCCACAACGTAACAGCACTCTTCCCACTTCCTCCCTGTGGTTAATCTTCATTTTTGAAGCCTTTTTTGCTGAGTATAGAAACATAGATTTGTGGGGGTTATTTTTCTTCAGCACTTTGAAAACATCATATAATTTTCTTCTGACTTCCTTCATTTCTTTTGAGAAACCCACTGTCTTGACATATAGTTTATTTTTTGAAACCAATATATCTTTTCTCTGGTTGCTTTTAAGATTTTCTTTATGGTTTTGGTCTTTAGCAGTTTTATTATGACAACTGGGGGGGCTCTTTATAGTCACTCTGCTTCTGATACGTAGTTACTTTTGAACCTCTTGTTTGATATCATTCATCAATTTGGGGAATATTTCAGCCACTATATTCTTGAAAATAGCACTTCTATTTTTTCTCTCTCTCTTTTCCTCTGAAACTCAAATTTCATGTGTGTTAGAATATTTCATTTACTCCCCTATGTCCCTTATTCTCCTCCTACATTTTTTGTGCATTTCTATTTCTATGCTTCATTCCAGATATTTTCTTCTGATTTCTTCGAGTTCACTAATTCTCTCTTCAGCTGCATTTAATTATCTATTAAACACATCTATTTTGTTCCTAATTTCAGATTTTGTGTTTATCAGTTCTAGAGTTTCCATTTTATTATTACTTATGGTTTCCAGGTTTTTAACTGAAATTTTTTTTTTTTTATTAGGATTTGGGTGAAGATTTACAGAGTAAATTCACTTTTCATACAGCAGTTCACATATACTTTGTCTCATGTCATTGACCAAAATTTACAATGCAGCAGCTCCCCTCCCACTTCCTCCCCATAGTTACCTCCTCCCAGTGTCCATCCCTTCATACTCTTCGAGAGGCCCATTGTCTGCCAACCCTGTATATGATCTTGGATACACTCTCCATTTAGACATACATAATTGTTTAGCTTGTTCACCCATCTATCCGTCCCTATACCCATGTTTGCTTTCATTAACAACTCAGTATTGTATTTACAAAGGGGTTCATATTTGTTGTTTGTACTGCCCATGTAACTCTCTCTGTCTTTCTCATCCTCAATGCTGCCATATTGGTCACTCACATTTGGTACATTGCCCTTCTCTTCACCCAAATCAATATTTATCTCTATCTATCTAACAGCATTCCCTCCCCTTCCCTCCCACCCCTGGTAACCAACAAAGAAAATGTCCTCCAATATATAAACATTTCCTTAACTTTTACAATAACGGACTAATACAATATTTGTCCTTTTGTGACTGACTTATTTCGCTCAGCATAATGTCCTCCAAGTTCATCCACGTTATGCGGTGTTTTGCAGATTCTACATTATTCTTTAGCGTTGCATAGTATTCCATTGTGTGAATGTACCAAAGTTTGGTTATCCATTCCTCAGTTGTTGGACATCTAGGTTGTTTCCAAGTTTTGGCTATTGTAAATTAACTGAAATTTTTAATCTTCCTTTTTATAAGACCAATTACTTCAAAGCTGTGCCTGACAAGTCCATTATCTCAAATTCTTGAGGGTCTATTTATACTGTCTATTCTTTGTCTTGGGAGCTCTGGTAGCATAGTGCCTAAGGAACTTGACTGCTAACCAGAAAGCTGGCGGTTCAAACCCACCAGCCACTCCTCAGAAGGAAGGTTGGGCAATCTACTTCAGTAGTGACACTGCCTGGGAAACCCAAGGAGGGGTCGCTATGAATTGGGTCCGACTCAATGGCACATAACAACAACAACAACACTTTGCTCTGATGGCAAAGTGGTTAAAGCATTTGGCTGCTAGCCAAAGGTGGCAGTTTGAACTCGTCAGCTGCTCCACAGGAAGAAAATGAAGCAGTCTGCTTCCAAAAAGATTTACAGCCTTGGAAACCCTATGGCACAGTTCTACTCTGACCTATAGTGTCGCTTTGAATCCCAATCGACTCGATGGCGATGTTTTGTTTGTTCATTTTATTCTTTGTCTTGTTTTTTGATCATAGTCTTGCTTCCGTATATGCCTAGTAATATTTTTCCTGTGCCAGGTATTGAATATGAAAAATAGAAGAAATACTTTGAAGGCTAGGATAATTTTCTTTCCTCCAGAGATTTACATTTGCTTCTGGTAGGTATCTAAGGCCACTAGCAATTCCAGATCACTTTAATCCAAGCAGGGCTTCAGTCTTTCATTACCAGCATCCTTGGCCCTTAATTATTTCTTTACCATGTGCTTCTGTCTACTAGAATTCTTTCCACTGCAAGTAATAGGACACGCAAATCAAAATGGCTGTCCAATTACAAGGACAAGAAATAAATAAGAAAATAACATTTATTATCTTACATATCTGAAAAAGCCAGTGGTAAACACTTCAAGTGAGGCTTTACCAGTACACAAATTAAGTGGAAAACAGTTTATTGCTCTCCTTTTCTGGACTCAGCTTTTTCAATTTTCAGGCTCCACATGACTACATGAGGGCTGTAATAACCCCAGGCTGTCTGTCTCATTTACATGCAATGAAAGAGCTCTTTTTTCCCCAGCATTTCTAGAAAAAAAAATGGCTCTTATTAAAAAGAAAAAAAAAAAAAAAAAGCTGTCCATTCCCCAGTCAATTCCTGTGCCCAGAGGAATGTGATATTCTGGCTATTTGGGTCTGAAACATATGCCTATCTCTGGAGAGGTTGAGGGGAAGAGAAGAATAAATCACATTGGAAGTTCAAGGACTAAGAGTTGGGGAAGGGATGACCTTTATGGGGTCAAATTACACTTACCAGAAAGAGGATGAAATGATGCTGGGTGGCAAAATTGATATTTAGTTTCTTTTCTTTAAATTTTTATTGTGATTTGGGTGAAAGTTTACAGAGCAAATTCATTTTCCGTACATCGGTTCATGTTGTTGTTATGTGCCATCAAGTCAGACTCGACTCATAGCGACCCCTCCTTGGGTTTCCGAGGCAGTATCACTACGGAAGTAGATTGCCCCATCTTCCTTCCGAGGAGTGGCTGGTGGGTTTGAACCAGCTTTCTGGTTAGTAGTCAAGTGCCTTAGGCACTACGCTACCCGAGTTCCCACATCGATTCATACACATTTTGTTTCATGACATTGACTGCAATTCCCCACAATATAACAGCTCTCTTCCCACTTCCTCCTGGTAGTTACCTCTTCCCAGTGTCCTTCCCTCCCTTGTACTCCTGCTGTCTCCCTGTGTGAACACTGCCCTTCTGTTCTCCCACAATGGATGGATTGCTCCAAGGAGTGTATCTACCTCACGTAAATGTTCACCCCATATGCTTATTGTTTGGCTGGAAGCCGCAGGAGTGAGCGCAGTTCCAGACATGAAGGATAACTAGGGGCCATAGCCTCAGGGGTTTCACCAGACCAGCAAACTTGGTCTTTTTAAAATGATCTTGAGTGGCAAAATTGATATTTAGTCTTCAAAGTGGCATCTTTGTTCTTTAACACTTTAAAGGGGTCTTTTTGCAGCAGATCTGCCCAATGTAGTATGTCATTTGTTTTATTGACTACTGCTTCCATGGGCCTTGACTGTGGATCCAAAGGAAATGAAATCCTTGATAACTTCAATCTTTTCTCCCTT